TCCCTGAGTATAAAAAAAAAAAAAAAAAAAAAAAAGCAGCTTTTTTCTTAATGTCATTGGAGAGGCTTGCTGCCTTATTGGTAGAGGCCTATCTTCAAGGAACACAGAACTAAAATAATTGGAAAGGAGGAAGAATGGAGTACAGGAGGACCAACATGAGGATACACATAAGAATAAGAAATGGAAAAAAAAAAGAATAAGAAATGGAAATACACATGATCTTTTTAGTAATCAGTTAAAACATCAGTTTGACTGACCCACAGTTTTAGATAGGAGAGCACTGGGAAAAAGTGAAAAGAAGCTGAATTGTAGAGTTGTAAGTGGCAGGGACTAAAAGCTTATTTATAGGTAATAAATAAGGTGGTAGGAGTTATAATATCAGTTGGGACATGCTACATTTCAGTTCATGTTGTCTATCCATGTGGTGAAATTAAGCAGGTAATTCAATATATAAGTCTGGTGGTGGTATATAATGGAAAGATGGCTCAGATGACATGGTTCTGAGTCTTGGCTCCATCAACAACCAACTGTGAGACTTTAGTATCCAATACTGAAATACCATAATAATATTACCTGCTTGCCCTAGTTAGAAATTGTGCTTGGCTAGTAGCAACAAAGCTTTACACTAATGACTTACTAATGAGAAGTCTGGAGCTATATACCCAAGGACTTAGGATTTGGCAGTGTAATGTCATCAAGGGCCTTGGCTTCTCATATCAAACACTCATCACCTCATATTTACAACTTGGCTTTTGGACCACTTCCCATTGTGTTCATGTCCCAGGTGTGATGGAGGGGAAGGGGCAGAAATCAAACGCCAGCTGAATTAACAGCTCTGTCCTATCATTTAAGGAGTTTTTCAGTGATGCTGGACTCAACAACTTTCATCTCATTTGCTAAAACTTCAATATCAAGGAACCAATACCACATCTACATAGGAGACTAGCAAATATAGTTGTTGGGTTGAGGATTGAGACTGGATATTAAGATATTAAGATTTTGAGCTGTCTGACTAGTAAATGGCTAGACCAGAAGCTTTAATTACTGTAGCAATAAAAATACAGAGGTGATCTCTCTAATTGGTTACTCCAAAATATATATATTGAAAGAGGCCAAGATTTTTTTAGGCTGTAATTTGCAGAAACTAGAGTCCACACACCACTAACAGCGCCAGAAGATGCACTGACATTCACTTTGGTATGTGATTAGAGAAACACCAATCCGCTTCCTTTCTGCTCAGCCTCTAGTTGACTCAGGCCATAAAACATTTCAATGCCGAGGCCAGTAGGTGCAGAACTGCAAAGAGTGTGCTCCTCCAAACTTCTTTAGAGTCTTCCTTTTCTTTTGGCTCAGTCAGCCCTCCTGAGAGACATGTACCTCTCACTCTAAAGAGTGCCCATATTTTCTTTATTTTTCCTGACTGAGGATTGCTTTTCTCAGGTAACTTCATACAGTAGTGAATGCCTCATATATAAAATCTAGTTTTTTGTATATCTAGAGGGGCTGGTAGAAAATAGGGAACTCCTTTAATTCTGGGTGATCCCAAGTCCTGGGGATTAAGAAACATAACTGCCATCCAGAATGTTCTAGACAGTTTGTGTCCTCCGGGTCCTTGCCAAGATCTTCCATCTCTTCTCAAGCCAACAGCTTATTCTCTTCCTACATCTGCTCTGACTCCCTTTATCATTTCCAGGAGACCAATTTGTTGGTTTTCCCCTATGTATGTTGATAAGGAATAAAATGATGCAAAATCTAGGCTACAACGTGTGGTCATTGGGAGTTGATAAGAAACTGGATGCAAAAGTAAGGGAGAAAAACAAGTCACCAACCAATTCTAGATTTTTGGTTTGAGCAATCAAGTGATTAATGGTATCATTTGCTTGGAAAGGAAAGAGTACGGGAGGTGAGGGTTTGGGAGGTGGTAGGAGTTATAATATCAGTTGGGACGTGCTACATTTCAGTTCATGTTGTATATCCATGTGGTGAAATTAAGCAGGTAATTCAATATATAAGTCTGGTGGGCCAATGAGATTTTATGTAATTTTGGGAGTAACCAAAAGTATAGAAGTTACTTAAGCCATGGGACTGTATAAATTTCAAAGGAAAAGCATTTTATATAAAGAAGAGAAGAGGACCCGCAGGAGCTTAAGTAAAGAGAAGTCATGAAGAGGAAAGTGAATCAGCCAAGGTGACTACAAAGGAGCGGACAGTGAAGTAGGAAAAACACAGAGAATATGTGGTATTAATAAAGCAAATGGAGAATTGTGTTTTAAGGAGTCGTCAGTGGTCAATCATAGTATATTTGAATGAGAGAGTAAGAAAAGAATAGAGAGGTGAACAATGGATTTGACGATATGAAGGCCAACGATGAACTGGATACACATAGAGGAAATTTGTTTTTTAAAGTAGAAAACATACTTGCTTTCAATTCAAATAAAATACAGAGGGAAAATATTCCAAGGAAAAACGTTTTTGAGAAGGTCAGAGCAGATGGGATGTGCAGAATAAGTGGACCAATTTGATTTTGATATGAATAAAAACACTTAAGCTATAATAATTGATGGTAAGAGAGTATGGAGAAACTCAAGTAAGATTTATTTTCCTCATGCCCCATGTACCACAGATCTTGGAAGTGTGAGTACATTTTGTTTGTACTGCCATTATCATTTCAAACAATTTAATTTTCTTTTTCCTTCAAAGCCCTCAACTCTTCTGTGGAATGCATCATCAGACTTAGAATCTTCCATGTTGCCATCAACCACCAAATATACAGTAATCACATTAATTCATTGAAGATTTTAGTCCCTGGATCATTTTATTCTTTCCCATAACAACGCCTGGCATGATGATTGGTAACTGATTAAATTATACCAATGACTCATTAAACATGTTGGCCTTTTATTTTCTTGGTCTTCTTGACTCCAGTGATCTGTTCTTCTGCCTTGATTTAGTCATAGATTTTTAAAAACATACTCTTGACTTTTCAGCCCTCATATATATGCTACTACTGAAGATCTACTTCAAGATCTACTCATTCCTTGTCTACCACCTCCCGCTCTAGCAGTTCTGCAACCTGATGCTATCAGAATCTTCTCAACACCAATCTATCTTCCCTTATTTCCTTAATGCTTTCTTATGAACTTCTATACCATGGCCCTTCATTATTATCACTCCTGTGTACATGCCCCTATCATCTGTACTCCTCTCTCTCTTTCCATTGTCCATGACTAGTTAAACCCAACCCTATGCTCTCTGTGCACCTTCAAACACATGGGTGACAACAGAGCAAGACAGATAGGCAGGATGACTGGTCTCACATTAAATTGATGAACATAAATCTCAAAGTGCCAATCCACAATGCATAGCCATTCCATTATACATTCCTTATTCTGTGTGCATGTGTGTATTTATATATATTTCCGTCCCTTACAATAAATGACTTCTCTCTCCTTCTCAAACTACCTTCTCCTCTTTGCTCCCTCAGCTGATAACCTTGTTTCATATGCTATCAAGAAAATAGAAACCATCAGAGAATAAGTTCCTAATATTCTTAATACCTAAATACCTATTGCTGGACAAAGACAGTATTTGTTAGTTTGTGGTTTTCTAATATTTTCTAATGCCTCCTCTTTCTTTGCTATGTTTGCTATGTTTCTAGCATTTTATAATACAGCAGACTAGAAGTAGATGATTCTATTTAATAATAGTAGTTGGAAAACTATGGAAACATAAAATATATTCTTAAATTGGTATGTGTTTGCTTATCTGTTCTTTTATTTAATTGTTTGCTTTTAAATGAGATTCCTTCACTCAACTAGAACCACTGGAGGTGGGGGTGCAGTGTTTGAAGATAGTCATTAATTGGAGGTGGGTGAATTTTGTGTATGGAACAAATAACAGCATAATGGAATTAGAATATAGGTGGAACATTTTTTACTAACATTTGGATAGCAGATATTGTGAGAAAACGCTTCTACACACAAAAATATTCATGTAATTTTAAGAGTTCTACCTTGAAACGTATCTATGGAATCCTGGTCAAGATCCTGAGTGAGCAATTTTTTAAAAGTTGGGGGTTAAGTATGCTAAGAGAAATAAGTCAATCAGAGAAAGACGTGTATCATATGATCTCACTGATATGAGGAATTCTTAATCTCAGGAAACAAACTGAGGGTTGCTAGAGTGATGGGGGGTTGGAGGGATGGGGTGGCTGGGTGATAGACATTGGGGAGCATTGTGCTACAGTGAGTGCTGTGAATTGTGTAAGACTGTTGAATCACAGACCTGTACCTCTGAAACAAATACATTATATGTTAAAAAAAAAAAAAAGTAGGAAAAATGAAGGGGAGGAAATCAGAGGGGGAGACAAACCATGAGAGACTATGAGAAACAAACTGAGGGTTCTAGAGGGGAGGGGCATGGAGGGATGGGTTAGCCTGGTGATGGGTATTAAAGAGGGCACGTATTGAAAGGAGCACTGGGTGTTATACACAAACAATGAATCATGGAACCCTACATCAAAAATCAATCAATTAATTAATTAAAAAGTTGGAGGATTAAGATTAGGCTGGTGTTGTCAAGACAAAAGATGTTACTATGTGTATGTGAATGGGCAAGATGTCTATGTCTGTTTTTTTTTAGAGGGACCTATAACCATGACAAGGGCTACTAAATCTTTTGTAAATGATTTTGGGGAGCCAAAATAATAATAAAATAAATTTGAAGTTCATCAGTTCAACAATCCACTGTGAAGATATCTATACAAGGGTATTTATTTTTTACTGACAGAAAAGCAAAAAGATTACTGACAAGCAGTTATGAACCGAGTATAACATTGGTGAAGTTTTAAACTAAGCACGTATTTATGTTACTAATATATGACAGATTGTGGAGTCAGCAGGATTTGGTGGTTGGCTATGCAATTAATGAAATAAATTTAGCAAACTGTAATCAAACAAATATTGAAGTATTTTTTTCTTTCTTTTTTAATGTTCAATTAGGTATTCAATTGACAGAAACACAGACTTGGAGAGATACTTCAATATTGATGCCAACAGTGGAGTTATTACAACTGCCAAATCTTTGGATCGAGAGACAAATGCTGTTCATAATATCACAGTTCTTGCAATGGAGAGCCGTAAGTTGTAAGGTGTAACATTAAGTTAGGATGGAGGTCATTGAGAGTAGAGAATTTGTTGTCATGAGGTGCTAATTTCTGCTTGAGTTATATTACATGCTTATTTTAATTGAGCAAAATCTTCAAAATCCCTAATTTCAAACTGTGAAATATATTTATATCATTTGTTTGCCAATACTCACAAAGTTAACGAAAAGAGATTACTATAAAATAATGGGCCTGAGTTACCTTCCAATGGCCTCCTCTTGTATTATAGTCTTACTTCATAAGCTGCATCTATGATGATATAAAGTCGGTCCAAGAGCTTACAAAAAGTAGTAACTTGATCTCAAACCAATACACACAGATAAGCATATTGATATTGAACTGATTTTAGCCCCTTATAATAAAAATATTGAAAGAATGATGCATAATATGTTATGCATATTATCTACATATATAGTATATGTGCATAGATAATATATATATAATATATGTGTATAGTCATACAATTCTGTACTCTAGCTTCAAAGAATATTGAAATTCATGGTTTATTGGTCCTTTCTTTCAGTGATTTTCTCATCAGGGACTCAAATAAATACACACATGTACTATACATATATATGATATTTAGATCAAATTTTCTGTTGCTCTCTTTGAAGTCTATAGTGTTATGTTTCTAGATTTCATTCACGGTTTGGTCATTTTCTTATTAGAATCATGATTTAAGAGGCAAACCATTTTGAATAATTCTAATTGTTTTTAATAGGAGTTGCCTGAGTAAAATGGCAATGGAAAATAGCTTTACTCTCAGAGTAAATGGTAAGACATTTTCCTCTTTATTAGAGAATCCATCTCAAGTCGGAAGAGGCTATGTGGCCATTACTATACTTGACATCAATGACAATGCCCCTGAATTTGCTATGGACTATGAGACCACTGTGTGTGAAAATGCCCAGCCAGGGCAGGTAAGAGCTTTCAGCACACCAGGCTCCTAGCTTGTGATTTCTTTAAAAATATCCAGCCGCAGTTGCCTTTGAAATTCTGCCAGCTTTAAGATAAAACATAATCAGCATGTCTCAGCAAAACTAACACTTTGATGTGTAGCATAAACTAATATTGAAGGAACTTTAAAATTCTGGTTTAATTGGGATGATGAAATTTCTCAAGAAGAAGGGTAAACATTGTAAAAGCCATGGTAAATGGTTGAGGGCTTTGACTCTAAGGAGAAATCTAGCATGTGAAGCTTGATTGGGCTGTTCCCCGTTTTACACAGCAGGGCTTACGTACCTTGAACTTGTAAGAATTAAGTATAGTTTAATCTTGGTGTGGTTTGTTCTACCTATCCTTATTGTTTGGGGTTTTGTGATGTGTACTGGGCTGGTGTCATCAGTTGGTACAGCTTCTTTCTCAGGTTCACAAAAGTAAATGCAAACATGAAATTTCAAAGGGACACGATTGATTTTTCAGAGCCCTTTTTAGATTGGGTTCATATTAGTACATCTGGTCCCTCCCCCCAGGAGGATGGTATTTATTATAAGGTATAAAATTGCTCTGTCCTGTAGCACAGAATGCAGCAGAGCACAGCAATGTGCTTTCATGTTTTTTAATTCTATATCCCTAGGTTATCCAGAAGATCAGTGCTGTTGATAAAGATGAGCCATCCAATGGACACCAGTTTTATTTCAGCTTAACAACTGATGCAACAAATAACCACAACTTTTCATTGAAAGATAACAAAGGTAAGGAATTATTGTCACCAGTGGAGGCAGCAGGTACAAACTCTCTAAGCAACTACTTTTTCTTGCTCAGGAATGCTGATTATGGAGATACACACACACACACACACACACACACACACACTCTAGCAAGGATGTTAATTAAAGGGCAATGAGCCCCTCAAGTAATTTTTATCTATGGATTTGCTGTCATGAAGAAGCAGCTGCTACTTAAATCATTTCAGGCCTAAAACCAAATAGGGGAGAAGCCAGAAACATCTCTCTCTGACTTTTCTTCTAGACCTTTGAGAGCCAGCTAAATGTGTTAATAAGGCTATATACTACATAAGTATAACTTGAGACATTAGGAAAATAATTGGTATTTCCAGTTTGATATCAACCTAAATCAACTTTGACTTAATATTTTCAATAGTAGCATCAGTTATTCTTTTATTTTTAACAAAAAAATAGAAGTAATCCCTGCAAATAATTAAAAGATATATTCCTGATGCAAGGAAGTATAAAAAAGAACAAAAGAATTTCCTGTCATCCTAAATCTCATACTTCAAAGGTAAACACTCTTATCAGTTCCCTAAGTTTCATTATAGAATATTTTTATAAGTACCTGTAAGTATATTCTGGTTTTGCTTAAAAAAATACACACACACACACACATTTTTACTTAAAATATATATATATATATATACACACAGACACACATATATAATATTTACATTTTATAATTATATATAGACTGATATAGGCATATATAAACAATTATTTTATATATAAACAACATAGATAATTTTATATATATGTCATTATAGACAACACATGGACAATTATAAGAACTTTTAAAGTAGGAGAACCTGCCATCTGTTCTCTAATTTTGAATTTATATATTCACAGGTGTTTTCATTCAAGGTATTTATTTTAACAGAAGGGCATTTTCAACTGATATATATAGAGAGAGAGAGAGAGAAGTATTCTCCACCAATACAGAAAATGTAATTCCTTTGGGTTGAATATGTGAATCAGGTTTCAGGAAAAAAAAAATGTAGAAATAGATTTGCTAGTCAAACACTGACTCATCTAAAAAGACTTACTCAGAAGGTGGACATGATAAGTGCTTTTTGCCTGAAGCTGCCATCTTCTTTAGTGTAGAAAATCCAACTTTGACCTCAAAAATTCAATCTGAAAATAATAGTTTTCCTGATCCCACTCTCTGCTTAAATGAGAACACTATCTTGTCCCTTTAGTAATATAAAAGGAAGAGCATTCTCTATGTGGGTAATCCCAGACTCTGTGGCTTAATCATATTTGGGACAGTTCTCAGCACTTGGATTCATCCAGCACAAGTGTAGAGAGAGGATTTTATGACCTTGCCAAGAAGAATCTGAATATTTCCCCCATGTGTCATCATCCATTACCACCACAATTGTTGAACAATACATGCACTAAAATGTATGGGTTTATAGGACATCCCCACTGCTGCACAATTGAAAGATTTCCCTAAGTCAAGACCAGAGCTCCCTAGCATGTACCTTGGAGAGGATCAGTTCTTATATTAGCTTCCATCATAGGAACTGCATAGAGAACATGTTGAATTTTATGATCTCCTTCCTGAGAATAGGGCTATCTTTCACATACTGGCCATTTATGCATGTGCTTCAGAATCCATTTGTGTGTGTGTGTGTGTGTGTGTGTGTACGCATGCTATTTGATGCCAGTCATGTTAGATTACAATTCAACAGCTTTGAAAAAACTTTGTGTATCAAATCATGAATACATATATCTTAATGATTGGGAGGTAAAGAAATAGACACGTGTATTACTATAAGTGTATGGAAACATACTGAAAATAATATCCTTCTACAACTCCATGTATAGATTTTTAATGAACACCTGAAATTCATGTCTCAAAAGATTTGTTTACATAAAAACTTACCGGATGGAACCTGAAAATCAGTTTTATACATGCTGCATCTATAATTGGAGGTTATATGTTTTCTCCAGTCTCCTGTAAGCTTCTTGTTTTGTTCTCTTTGGATAGAATAGATTTCAGCTTGCTCTTTGATTAGAGCATTGTTAATTCTTTTATGATAAACTTTGGATAAATATTTTTTGATAGCTTGGAATGGAGATACATATTAAAGTACACTAGATGAAACTATGATCCTATTTTCCTTCTTTATGTTTTAATTGCTATAAATTTAAAGGATCACATAAATTCTCTAATTAAGACAGTAGCTGGGTAAATTGCTAGTAGATAAAAAAATTATTTCTGATATAGAAATCACAGTTATGTGATACAGACTTATTGATAACTGGTAAAAGCTTCATAATTAAATGTTAGATAAAATAGAATATTGAATATAAATTAAACACAAATGACCTATTTTATCACCGAGAAAGTGTTTATATATATATGCAGTTTGGGTAATACCAATATGGATTTTTAAAAACTACACAATAATTTCTTTCCTGAATATCTATGTATACTTAATTCAAATAAAGCTGGATTGTCTTATTTTACTTGTTTCTATATTGGTTTTGGAACTTGTCAATGAGAGGATGGATTGGGATTTTTATTTGTGTTATCTGATGATGCTGCAAAAATATTTATCCTGTAAATTTGAATCACCCTCTTTGTAAGTGTATGGTTTGAAATTTAGGAGAAAAGGGTGTATTCTATGTAATTTTTACAAAGTTGCAGTTAAGTGATGAACAAAAATTTTCATATTCAGTTTTACTTGATAACTGTTTCCTTTGGTCATAATTGTGTAGCATGATGTAAATACATTAAAATGAACCAGTACTGGGTAATAGAGCTCTCTGACAAAAGACACTTAACACAATGACTTAAATCACATAAATTTGTGTGTGTGTGTGTGTGTTTCTTCTAGAAGTTTGTACCTCTTAATCCCTTTCACCTATTTTGCCCAGCCCCCCACCCCCTTAAATCAGGCAAGTCCATCAGAAATTTTGTTACACATTTGTTTTCTCTATCCTAGACAACACAGCTTCCATTCTCACCAGGAGAAATGGCTTCCGGAGACAAGAACAATCTGTTTACTATCTGCCGATCTTCATCGTGGACAGTGGATCGCCTTCCCTCAGCAGCACCAACACTCTCACCATCCGCGTCTGCGACTGTGATGCCGATGGGATCGCCCAGACCTGCAATGCGGAAGCCTACGTCCTACCCGCCGGTCTCAGCACAGGAGCCCTGATGGCGATACTCGCCTGTGTCTTGACATTACTGGGTAGGTACTGTTTAAAGTGCTTGCGCTGTAAGAGCGTTCACACCAACCATATATCATGACCTTTCTCTTCTCTTTTGCCTTTAGTACCTTTTTGAGAACATATGCAAGAATTCTGTTCGATGGTTTTTGTTCAATGAGCAACCCATGTTCGTTGGCCACACTTTCCAATAGTATATTTAAAATACAACTCGGAAAAAATATCAATTTCATTTTTAAAACAACAGTGAAGATAAATGACTGTTTACACTTAATTTTTTTTTTCAATACCGTGTCCCAGCTGTTTGTTTTAGAATACCCTACAGAGGAGATATTTTAGACCAGAATATTTTCTATGTTGTTTTGATGATGTGATTACTTCAGAAATTATGGCTTGATATCCCACCTCTTTTCTGAAAAGATTTAAGGTAAATTTTTAAATTATTCACAAATTTGAAAAGATTGCAATTTCAGCAATGCAAAAGTTATAATTTCCCAAGAATTAGCATATTTAATTATACTCTCCATGATTACTTTATTGCACAGTTAAATAAGATTTATAACTTATATTAGAATTAGTTTTATAAGAGATTATGCAGTACCCTTTTAAAAATTGGGAGACATCCAACATGGGCATTGAGTAATGGGTTTATTCCTTAGCTATATTGTCTATCAGAGTAGAACTTCCTACATCAAGGACAACAAGCGTTTAATATTACATCGGAGACCATACTGTGTGTTTTCTCGGGGTCTAATATAATTTGTGAACCCATTTATAATAGATTTTTGTAAGAGTTGAATTTGGCAATGTGAGTCATCATTGTGTAATGTTTAAAAACAAGATTTATGAAGTTCAGTAAACCTTTTATTACTGCTCCCAACATACACTAGTTTTTCAGCAGGGGAACGTTATAAAGCTGGACTACTTAATCTAGAAAGGAAAAATAATAGAACTAGACTGTAAGGTTGTTGTAAAAATTAAATGAGATAATCATGTGCCTACCATATAGTGCACATGCAATAACTTTTAAGTGTTATTGATGAACTGAATTCTCAACCTATTAACCAAGCTAAGACCTAGTTACTAATACACTGTAAATGATCTCATACAAATGGAAGTTACTGACTTCAATAACCTCAGCTAACCAAATAAATCTAGAAAGGAAAAAAACTTTTTTTTCAAATAGCTTCACACAGGTGGTGGAAAGTCTCAAATTCATTAGAAATGGTAAGTAATTCTCAGTTAAAGCCTGATTAGAATAGAATACAAAGGACTAGAGTAAATTTTGAAAAAGATAGAACCATTGCAAAGGCAGATGGTATATGGATGACTCTTTTTGAACTTAACCTGGCCAGTTTATCACAGACAATTTAGATTATGTCGTACTTCAAACAAGTAAGATAAAATTGTATTTCTCACGATTTAATCACACCCAACAATTAATTACCTTTAACATTTTTTTAAGGCTGTCTATCTAATGAAGCCTACTTCATTGTTAGAATATACTTTTACCATTGACCTAAGGATTCCTTGCAGGTTAAGTGGCTTGATGGTTCTAATGAAGAATCATTACTTAGCTGTCACTGAAAATAAGTGAAATAGAGTTTTATAGATTTCATTCTTGCATATGACATATAAGAGTGTGTGTGTGTATACATTTGTCTCAGGGTAAGATTACAGGTTTTTGTGGATTTTGTCAAAATTTAGTTATATTTGAGCATTTTCCTTTAACAAATACCAGACTAGGAATACCTCTTCTGCTTCTTAGGATAAGGTGTTTGTATCTTATATTTCACTCATCTTTTAAAGTTTCTCCAAGTCTACCAAAACAGAAGTCCAAACAGAGCCTATTGTACTGAAATTCATTTGAGGACTAGTGGCTTTCATTTCTCAGTGAGGACTTGGCTCAATAATCAGTGTATTCAAATACTGGTATTCCTGTTCAGAATTGAGTCTTTTTATACCTTATTTCCCGAGTCTTTAGAAACAGATGATCAGGACGTTGCATATTCTTTTGGTTCTGTCTCCTCAATTACAGACTCTGGGTTTTCACACAACACGTACCAAAGCCAACATGACCACGTATTTGGGTGGGGTGGTGTGGATGGGCTACACAGCCTGACATGGATCACGACTTCTAGTGCACAAGTGACCTTTACACCTCAAGAGGTGAGGTGGGTTTTGTTCCTAGACACTAGATAACAGGATTTGTAACTCAACATTTTTAGGCTTCTAAATAAATATTGCTAGAAAAAAGCAGGGTAGGGGTGCCTGGGTGGCTCAGTCGGTTAAGAGTCCGCCTTCGGCTCAGGTTATGATCTCAGGGTCCTGGGATCGAGTCCCCATGTCGGCTCCCCACTCAGCGAATCTGCTTCTCCCTCTCTTTTTTGAATCTCCCCCCTGCTTGTGCTCTCTCTTTCTCTCTCTCTCCCTCTCAAATGAATAAATAAAAAATCTTAAAAAAAAAATGGCTTAAAAAAAAAAAGCAAGGTAAAGGGATGGAAATAGGGAAGAACTACTTGAGAATCTAGTTCAATCTATAAGGATGAAACTAGAGAAGCACCTGGGCTTTTAACCCCGAAGAAAAAGTGCTTCCCTGTTTGGCAAGTTTGTTTTCCAGTGATGTTTCAAATTAAAACTATTTGTAAGATGAGAGAAAGGGATGTCCTGAAGTTTCCAGAATATTCATGCTGCAAGGCATCATAGAAATCAATTCTAGCCCAAACCTCTGCACTTTGCAGAGGGGAAAAGGGAAATAAAACTGGGTTCGAGGATTTCAGGATTTCATATAACAAGTTAATGGCCATTATGTCATAAGATTCTAGGTCTCCTTATCATCAATCACTGCTTTTAGATTAAACTACAAAGAAAATACACCTTGAAATTTTTTTTTTTTTCAAAATTGTTCACACGTAGTCCTTTCTTTCTCAGAATTGGAAAGTCATGTTGTCTGAAGTTGGTCATGTCGACTTCATGTTTGTGTCCTTCTACTTTTACGGGTGAACTATTTCCTGAGTTTTCTCCCATCCCAACTTTGTTCTCACCCTTTCTAATTTATTTGTACCTGAATTTTCTAAATGAAAGAGACCCCAGAATTAGAGCCTGAAGTTTCCTTTATTTACATTGACTATAACTCAAATGGGAGAGATTATGGTCATTTTAAAAGTTCATGATAGGGCGCCTGGGTGGCTTAGTTGTTAAGCGTCTGCCTTCGGCTCAGGTCATGATCCCGGGGTCCTGGGGTCAAGCCCCACATCAGGCTCCCTGCTCCGCAGGAAGCCTGCTTCTCCCTCTCACACTCCCCCTGCTTGTGTTCCCTCTCTCACTGTGTCTCTCTCTGTCAAATGAATAAAAAAAAAAAAAAAAAGTTCATGATAAAGTTATCAATCAGATGTGATTATTTTGCAAATAGAACCATTTCATCAGTATATGGAAAATACTTTAGTATTCTAATGTTTGACTAAATACTTTTGCCACACCAATTTTTAAGATTTTATTTATTTATTGAGAGAGAGAGAGAGCATGCAAGCAAGGGGAAGGGCAGAGGGAGAGAGAATCATAAGCAGGCTCCATGCTCAGCACAGAGCCCGACATGGGGCTCCACCTCACGACTCTGAGATCATGACCTGAGCCAAAATCAAGAGTCAGAGGCTTAACAGACCGAGTCACCCAGACTGAGCCCTACCCCAACACCAATTTTCTTATGCATTTTTATCATAGTTAAGTTCATAATTGTGGACATATATGGTTATTTTTTTTCAATATGTGCCCTCTTTAATACCAATCACCAGGCTAACCCATCCCCCCACCCCCTCCCCTCTAGAACCCTCAGTGTGTTTCTCAGCGTCCACAGTCTCTCATGGTTCGTCTCCCCCTCCGATTCCCCCTCTTCATTTTTCCCTTCCTACTATCTTCTTCTTCTTTTTTTAAAACACACAATGTATTATTTGTTTCAGGGGTACAGGTCTGTGATTCATCAGCCTTACACAATTCACAGTGCTCACAATAGCACATACCCTCCCCAATGTCTATCACCCAACCACCCCATCCCTCCCATCCCCCACCACCCCAGCAAACCTCAGTTTGTATCCAGAGATTAAGAATCCCTCATATCAGTGAGATCATATGATACGTGTCTTTCCCTGATTGACTTACTTCACTTAGCATAATACCCTCTAGTTCCATCCATGTGGTTGAAAATGGCAAAATTTTGTTTTTGTTTTATTGATGGCTGCATAATATTCCATTGTATATATATACGACACCTTCTTTATCCATTCATCTGTTGATGAACATCTTGGCTCTTTCCATAGTTTGGCTATTGTGGACATGGCTGCTATAAACACTGGGGTACACGTACCCCTTCAGATCACTACATTTGTATCTTTGGGCTAAATACTGAGTAGTGCAATTGCTGGGTCATATGGTAGCTCTATTTTCAACTTTTTGAGGAACCTCCATACTGTTTTCCAGAGTGGCTGCACCAGCTTGCATTCCCACCA